ACAAAGGAAGTATATCCATTGTACAAAAGAAATATGAGAAGGGTAAAGCAGACACTAAAGCCGTAAGTTACTGCTCACACGTATAATCCCACTACTTTGGGAGACCAAGGAGGGAGGATTGCTTGAGCCCAGGACTTCAAGAACACCCCATCTCTTACTGTTAGGGGTTGAATTGTGATCCCCTAAAAAAGATATTGAAGCCCTAATCGCCTGTACCTCAGAATGTGACCTTATTTGGAAACGGGGTCATTGCAGATGTGATCAGTCAGGGTGAGGGCATGCTGGAGTGGGCCCAGCATGACTCGTGTCTGTGTAAGGAGATGGCCATGTGAAGACGGACACATTGGAAGAGCACCATGTGACAATGAAAACGGGTCGGTGTGTGTAGCTGCAAGCCGTCATGTCAGATTGCTTGCATACCGCCAGGAGCCAGGAAGAGGCAAGGAAGGGGTCAGAGGGAGCATGGCCCTCCCAACACCTTTCTCAGACTTCCAGCCTCCTGAATTGTGAGATGATCAGTTTCCATCATTTCAAACAAACCCAAAATGACAGACATGAACAAGGAAGGGGGTAAAAAAATACTTGCAAGGAAATACAGGCCAGGCGCCGTGGTTCACGCCTGTAATCCTAGCAGTGTGGGAAGCCAAAATGGGAGGATCCTTGAGCCCAGGAGTTTGAGACCAGCATGGATAACATAGTGAGATCCCTGTCTCCAAAATAATATGAATTAACCGAGTGTGGTGGTATGTGCCTGTGGTCTCAGCTACTTGGGAGGCTGAGGCGGGAGCATCGCTTGAGCTCAGGAGTTGAAGGCTGCAGTGAGCCGTGATCATGCCACTGCACTGCAGCCTGGTTGACAGAGCAAGACTCTTGTCTTTAAAAAACCAACCAAACAAAACCCCACACAGATGGAAAGGAAAGTTACTTTGTGAAACAGACACGAAAGAACAGGAGAGAGAGATGGAGAGAGTGAGGAAGGGAGACAGGTCTGGTTGCAAACAAAAGGTCCATTGGCGACGGAAATGTCACCTGCCCTGGAGCTGGGCCCGTCACCGTGAGGGATGTGCTGAGCGTGCCGTCTGGCGCAGATCTGGCTGATGGATGTTAGGGTCCCATTGCCAGCGGCCTGTCAACATCCCCTCCCCACTGCCTCCTTCCAGAGCTGAGCCCGGCTTCTCCGCAGCACTGTGGAGATGAACTTGTCATGGGGCTCAGAGTGTAGTGTCGGGAGCAGCCTAGGCTCAGGGCCTCCACCTCCCCTGCCCCCAGTCTCTGCTGTGAACAGTCAGCTCCTATTAGAGGGGCTTGCACAGGGGCGGAGGGATGGACGAGCTGGCTTGCTCAGAACCTCCTGCCAGCCACCAACTGGCCTGGGCTTGTTTTGGACGTGGTAGACTGAGGGGCCCAGGAAGGTAGCCCACATAGCAAAAGTGTGGTGGGGTACATCAGGACGGGAGAGTGGTTAGACCTTGCCTTCCCAAGATCAGGGACAAACATTAGGGCCCCCCTTCTAGCCCCCAAATCTACTCCCTGGTACTGGGGTGTGGGAAGACTGAGGGAGCCGCTTGGTCAAGTCCCAGAAGCTCAGGCCCCACCAAGCTGGTGAGTTTTTGCCTCCCAGCTTCAGCTCCTCTCTGACTTTCAATGGGACCTTTCCTTCTTACCCAAGGGACGGAGCCTCTTAGAGCCCAACAAATGGATGGGGCAGAGACCCTAGGCCTGGGGGCTGCATGGCAGGGAGGGAGTGCCAGCGTTCCTTTTGTCTTTAGGGTTCCTGAGAGCCCCATGGTGGCACAGGGCGTTAAGGGATTGGGTAAGTCCGTTCACCTCTCTGAGCCTTGGTTGTATCTGTAAAGGAAGAGAAACCGTCCCTGCCCTGAGTGGACATGAACAAGGTCATGGACATGAGCGTGGCCGTGGATGTGTAGGCACTGGTCAGCAGAGCACTGGGCTGGTGTCGAGAGCAGCTGCTTCCTGCTGTCTTTAGGATTTGGCCTGTTACTGTCTGCTGTGTAGCATGGAGCTGAGGGCCAGGAGACTCACGGAGCATTCATTCGTTCAGCAGTCAATTACAAAGCACCTGTGATGTGCCAGGCATTGTGCTGGGCACCAGGGAGACGCAGTGACCATGTCAGATAAAGCCCCTGAGGCTGTGGAATTGACGGTCTAGTGACAGAAGGGTAAACAGTGAAATAAAACAATAAAGATCATTTCAGACAGTGTCCCAGCTCACTGAGGAAAGGAGGGCAGCTTCCTATCATGTTCTACTGTGAGTTGGGGGAGGGGGGTGGGAGGCTGTCTGAGGAGAGGACTTTTGAGCTGCCCCCTGAAAGGCCTATGGGAGAACATTCCAGGCATGGGGAGCACCAGATCCAAGGCCCCAAGGCAGGACAGGGCAGCTGTATTGAGGGATGTAAAAGAAGGCCAGAGTGGCGGTGGCAGCAAGACCGGAAGAAGGGCTGGGCAGGGGCCACTCTGCAGGCCTGGACTGAGAGGGCCTGGTGAGGAGACTGTTAGCCTGAGAAGGGTGGGAACCCTAGGAGTGCATTGGAGTGCGTTCTCTAGGCTGGCTGTTGTGTGATGAGCAGGAGGGTGAAAGGCAGCCTGGAGGCCCACCTGTGAGAAGCAGATTCCAGTGGGCCAGGCAGAGATGGTGGTGGTTGGGCCTGGGCAGGGCAGGGCAGGGCAGGGCAGGGGGTGGTGGCGCTGAGAGGGACCAAGATGCCTGCTCTCCATAGCTCCAAGCACACAGACACTGCTCTAGGAAGGCCCTCCCAGTTGCCATGGATTAGGGGGTGGGAGGGGAAGGCTGGCTGCTGGGAGGGAATGTGGCTTTGTGCTTGGAAAACAAAGAACAGAGCTTGGGCCCTCTTCTCCTGGGGGTGGTGGCAGGCCCAGAGGCTGTTGACAGGACCAGAGTCTGGAGCTCAGGGCTGGGCCTGGCAGGAGCAGGCTCTGGCCCCAGGCATCCGAGAGGGGGTAGGTGCCCAGCTGAGGGACCCCAGAGCCCTCCAGGGTGTGGCTGCTGGGCTTGGGGCAGGGAGCACCAGGAAGGACAGATAGCCGAATGCTCACCCCTGCAGCCCGGGAGCCAGGCCAGTAGAGGAGGTTTGGGCAACAGTGCCCTGGGCTGTGGGCTTGGGACCCAGTGTGTGGACAGATGTGTTTGGGAGCCAATGGTGGCCCTGGGGGCTGTGGGGGGAGGGACAGGAGGAGATTGACAGGACTCTGCCTCTGCCTTGCCCCCAGCCCCACTGCTGAGGCCCCGCCCTCCCCGCCCTGAGGTGAGGGCCCACCAGGATGAGCAAGCTGCCTGGGGAGCTGGGTGGAGACTTGGAGCGCAGCCTGCCCGCCTTGGCCTCCCTGGGCTCCTCGCTGTCCCACAGCCAGAGCCTCTCCTCGCACTTCCTTCTGCCACCCGAGAAGCGAAGGGCCATCTCCGATGTCCGCCGCACCTTCTGTCTCTTCGTCACCTTCGATCTGCTCTTCATCTCCCTGCTCTGGATCATCGAGCTGAATGTGAGTGGGGGCGAGGTGGGGGCACAGGCTGTGTTGTGGGCCACCCGGGCCTCAGTTTGTCCATCTGCCACGTGGGAGGGTTGCCTCTCCTCTGGGGTTGGTTAGCTGGGTAAAATGAAGACTAGGAGGATAACAACAGTGGTTCTCATCTTCTGGATGAAGAAAACAGGGCTCGGAGGGGCTGCATCATTTGGCCAAGGTCCCTCCGCATGCACTTGTGCGAAGGCTGAGGCCTTGAACCCACCCTCTGGCTCCAGAGTTCATGCTCTTGGCCTCTGCTCCATACTGCCCCCTAGTGGAAGCTCCTGAGAGAGGAGGAGGGGAAGACCCAGCTCTGGCGGAGCTGTTTGTCTTCTTTTTGCCTGCCACTGCCCTCTGGCTCCAGTTGGTTCGTTCATTCGTTTCTTCAATCATTCATTCATTTATTCATTCATTCATTCAGCAAACATTTTTTGAGTCTCTGTGCTAAAAACAGAGGCTAGCCAGGTGTGATGGCACACACCTGTTTTCCCAGCTGTTCAGGAGTCTGAGGTGGGGGAGGATCACTTGAGCCCAGAAGTCTGAGGCTGCAGTGAGCCATGATTGCACCACTGCATTCCAGCCTGGGTGACAGAGTGAGACCCTGACTCAAATAAATAAGTAAATAAAAGCAGAGGGCACAGTGGGGAGCAAAACAGGAAAAACTCCCAGTGGCTCTAATGAGATGCTGTCCCTCCCCTACCCCATGCAGTGCTTGGCCCACCCTCGGAAACACAGTCGTGGGCAGTGGCTTCATCTGGTCTCTGGGCAGGGCCAAGCCCACAGAGGCAGGAGTCTTGGAAGCAGGGCACCCCAGGCTCAGTTCTGTTCCAGCTCCTCGGTTCTTTTCCACTCTGCATTGACCTGGTGACCTCAGCAAGGGACTCAACCTCTCAAGTCCTCCCCTGCTTTTCCTTCAGCAGCATGGGCTCCCCATCAGAGTTCTGGATGGCAAGGGCCCTTCCTCCAGGTCTCAAGCTTATGTGACAGGAAAACGATCTCTTGTTGATAGAAGTGATGAGCTTGGGGAAGGTGCCCACTCGGGGCAAAGAGAATAAGTCTGATTCTGGGCATGTTGAGCTGGAGGGAGAGATGGGGCTCTGAGGGTGACTGTCCACTGTGCCCCGGAGATGAGCTGGCACCTTCAGGTAGCTGGAGCCATGGCCATGGATGGCCCCAGTGGCCATCTCACCCCGAAAAAGCTGTGGCCCAGCAGGCTCAGGGCCTTCTGCAGAGCTTCTGAGGTCTTAGGCAGACTTCCTTTTCAAGGTCCCATCCAACGTCAAAGTAGACAGTAAAACTTACCTGTACCCTTCATTGAGTATCCCAAATAGAGCCGAAAATATTTTGATAATTTTACTTTTGTTGTGTTTTGTTTTGTTTTGAGACAGGGTCTCACTCTGTCGGCCATACTGGAGTACAGTGGTGTGATCATGGTTCACTGTAGCCTCTACCTCCTAGGTTCAAGGGTTCCTCCCGCCTCAGCCTTCCCAGTAACTGGGACCACAGTTGCACCATATGTTTGGCTACTTTTTTTTTTTTTTTT